TAAAATGTAACATGAGTAAACTATTAGACAAATCCAAAATGCAGGATATTTTGCAAAACAATTGGCTGGGCTCTCCCAAAAGTCCATTTCTTTAACACCCACAAAAGGTGGGGAGGCCGGGGGCAAGGGGGTTACTAAGAATCATTACTAGCTTAAAAATGAGTTTAAAAAAAAATAACCAAATGAAATGCACAAACCTGGATCAGACTGTGATTCAAAAACTTAGCTATAAAAATATTTTTGGCACAATCAAGGATATCTGAATGTAGACTGAATATTAGAATGAAATTCTGGAATTATGATTATGTAAAGAATGTCTATTTTAAGAAGGCAGGTTTAAGTATTTACAGATTAAGTATCATGATGGTACTGGTAATTTTAACAACAACATATATAACACATACATCTCAAACTAAATTTTAACAATTGTTGAATTCAAGTAAAGTGTAGAGAGTGTTTATTATTTCAACAGTTCTATAATTATGAAAATTTTCATAATAAAAAGCTGGGGAAATGTTATTGAAACACAAAATAAAATTCTATCCTTACAGACACGCCTGACTCAAAGAGTTTATGAACCCCAAATAGGCACCATTAATGTCTAGTTAATTCACGTTTTTAATCTTAGAAGTTAACTGAAAGTAATGTTAACTCAAAAGTAAAAGGAACAATATAAGAGCCATTTATGTATAATAAATGTTTAACATTAAGACATAAGAACTGAAATGAAAAAACTATCAAGAATATAAATTACTGCTGGGCTCAGTGGTACAGGCCAATAATCCCAGCAGCTTGGGAGGTTGAGACAGGAGGATCACAAGTTCAAAGCCAGCCTCATCAAAAAGCAAGGCACTCAACAGCTCAATGTAGACCCTGTCTCTAAATAAAAAAAGCAGGGCTGGGGATGTGGCTCAGTGGTTGAGAGCCCCTGAGTTCAATCCCCAGTATCCTCCCCCCCATAACAAACAAACAAACAAACAAAAAGAATATAAATGACCAATTCAACTATCCCTCAAAACATATCACAAATGAGTACATGTTAAACTGAGGAAATCTAAATAGGCTCTGCGGACTGAACCAAAGTTGGTTTCCAGGTCTGTATTCGCCCTAAGACATACAGGCAAACAAAGTGTAATGAAGCAGCCTAATTTGGAGTCCCAGTGAAACCCTTAGTTTATAAAAGCAATCACCTGCTCTGCTTTGTTTTATGCATGTACTCCAAATATGATAATGTACTACAGTTATGCAAGATACTATCAATGGAGTAAACTGGGTGAAGGGCACATGGGACTTTCTTACACATTTTTCTGCAAATTCCTGTGAATCTATAATTAAACAAAACACACATTACAGACCTGTTGTGCTAGTATCATCCAGTCTGAATGTATTGCTAACTGGCTCCTTAAACTTATCCCAAAAGCCAATCAAAAGACATGCTTTCCTTCAAAACAATCCTTAAAAATCCTAGTCAATTCTTTTTTTTTAAATAATTTTTTAGTTGTCGATGGACCTTTATTTGTTTAAATGTGCTGCTGAGTGCTCTACCACTGAGCTACAATCCTAGTCCTAGTCAATTCTTAATACCAGTGAAGAACAAAAGGAAATGTGAAGAGATCCATACATCTACAAATAAATGCCTCACTTCTAGACCCCTAAGTTTGCTACTAAGGTCTCATGTCACCTCGCTCCAAAGTGGAATCTGAATTCTCAATTGGTTATGTTTCCAGATTTTTCACATAACTGAGCTAGTGAAGAGGGATCACATTTTTGCATTCAATTGAAGTCAGTTCCAGAGAGCTCAGCTCATTTACACTGCCAACAGCTAACTGCTGGGAAGTTAGCTGCCATTCAACTTCCCACGCCTGCAAATCTTCTTGCCTTCTGAGCCTGCTAACTGCCTCTCTATTTCACTTGAGTCAGAACAAGTTTTTGATCCCTACCCCCCACCACCAAGAATAAGTATTTGTATCTTTTTGCTCCTAAGAGGAAACTGAGTGGAAATCAAAAACCAAGCAGAATCCTCCTTCATCATGCAAATCCTTACCAACAGCCCCTCCTGCTGGAATTATAACCACGAGCATCAGCTGTAAAATCTCTTTCCCAGTCAGACCAAGGCCTACAACTTCACAAGAACAGCCAGGGAGCCCTTGCCATGGAGGATAGGCATGTTTTCCCAGCTGCCAGCTACACATGGTCCTCTAAACATAATCAAGATTTACTCTGGGTCTTTCCTGAGCCACAGGTTATGGCAGAGGTCACTGCATGAAAAACAGCACACAAGAAGCATCACTGAAAGGCCAATATGCTAAAAGGTTGACTGGGTTTGGGTTTTGGGGTTTTTTTTTTTTTTAATTATTGTTGTTTTTTTTAAAAGTCACCATCTGGTTTTCATTTCACCTGAGCATATGAGTTTTCCATTATTTTTTTTTTAAAAAGGAGTCCTGAAAATACTTGTATTATCCATTTGCCCAACACTGTCTTAAAATAAGGTAAGGAAATACTTTTTGTAGACAACTCAACTGTAGCTCAGTGGTAGAACACTTGCCTAGCTCACATGCATAAGGACCTAGGTTTGATCTCCAGCTCATAAGGGGAGGAGGGAATCTAAGGAGACATGAAATGCAAAACCATCTATTACACATGCAAATATGAAGTACTTTACAGCTACACTCAGAGATATGGTCCAAAGAAAATATACCAAAGCACCACTAAAGACTGTCACAAGGCAGGGAAATATAAGCAACTACTTTTTTCTTTATACTCTCATACATTTCACACTTTTTTTCCACACTGACTACTATGTATTGCACATTTTTAATCAGAGCCAGCTTACAGGCTTCGGGCCTACTGGGTTATACCTGAGATGTAAAAGAGGGCATTCACTGGCTGGCCACGACAGCAGTGTTAGAAGCAGCAGCATAGGCTAAAGGCACCCTAGGAAAGAAACTTAACTCTCAATTCATTAAAACTCCAAAGCTTACATTTAAAATGGTACCCACAAGTCTGCCAGTAAACAGGGCAAGAAGTAAGTCAATAAATATGGGGGGGGGGGGAAATGCAGGCTCTAGTGCCACCATTTCTCAAGGCAGTAAAATATATACCATGACATGAATGGAGACTGTTATGGTCTAGATGTGGTGTCCCCCAAAAGCTCACTGTGAGACAATGCAAGAAGGTTTGGAGGAGAAATGATTAGGTTATATCCTCCTAATCAGTGAATTAATCCCTAATGAGATTAACTGAGTGGTAACTGGAGGCAGGTGGGGTGTGGGTGGAGAAAGTGGTTCACTGGGGGCATTGCTATGGGGTATATATTTTGTATCTAGAGACTGGAGTCTCTCTCTGCTTTCTGATCACCAAGATGTGAGCTGCTTCCCTCCCTCCACACTCTCCAGCCATTATGCTCAGCCTCACCTCCAGCCCTGAAAATGCAGCCAGCCTTCTATGGACTAAGACCTCTGAAACCATAAGCCCTCAAGTAAACTTTTCCTCCCCTATAATTGTGCTAGTTTAGTCACAGCAGCAAAATTGCTGACTAAAACAGAGATTTTCACAGGAAGGTACCAATGATCATTCCAGGCATAGAGATGGCACTTCATAAATAACTCAACTACTGTACTTAAATTACAATAAGAATTTACTGCTCTTCACACTCTTTAAAATAATCTTAAAACCATATTTAACTGGAAAATACCTAATTTCCCATTGAGCTGCATGCCAAGACAGTACCACTGTAACTCAACACAATAGTCCTTATCACAATTTGCTAGAGAACCTTTAGATTATTCACCAAGCAACAGCATTTTTCGCTTTTTTGTCTGTTTGTTTGTCTCTAGTATCCTCCTTGATGAAAAAAAAATAAAACACTTCATTTTTTAAAAAAATTTTTAATATTTATTTTTCAAGTATCGGCGGACACAACATCTTTGTTTGTATGTGGTGCATGAGGATCGAACCCGGGCAGCACGCATGCCAGGCAAGCGCGCTACCACTTGAGCCACATCCCCAGCCCCAGAAAACACTTCATGATGTGAAGATCAGCATAGTGGGAGGCAGCCACAGGACTCTCCAGATTACTGGAGAGCACACCGAACAAATCAGTTTATTAGCAATCATCACTTTTAGAAGACCCCAGATTTGAGGAATTAGGCTTGATTTAAAGCTATTCTAAATTGCTAAAGCTGCTAGTTAATTCTTTATAGAATCTATGCGATCCAGTGTTCAATCCTGTTGATAATTAGGCAAACCAGAAGCAATATGAGTGTACAGATAAAAATAATTTAAGCCAGGCACAATGGCACATGCCTGTAATCCTAGCCACTTGGGAGGCGGAGGCAGGAGGATCCCAAGTTCAAAGTTAGCCTCAGCAAAAGCGAGGTGCTAAGCAACTCAGTGAGATCCTGTCTCTTACACTCACAGGGACAGGGACATACACACACTCTTTTTGTTTGAGTTAAATTCTCCTCTTTCCCACCTAAAGCTGCACAGTAAATCCTCATGCGACCATCCCAATAACTATTTTTTGCTACTAAATTTTGCCAACAATCTGCTCAGCATTCTAACAGATGTTTCTGTTTTCCAACCTCTGGGAACTTGGCTGGTTCTGTTTTCTTCCCCCATGTTAAAAATAAAAGAAATGATACAAATGTGGCCTAATACCCTAGAGAAGCTTTTCCCCATCCCACACCCCTCCATCTTCTTGTTCATGTGACTTCCATGATCCCTTCTCAAATCTTTTCTTTTCCATTACAGAAGATGTTTCCAATTATGGTCCATTATATGGTGCCAAAGATGACATCACTCGTGTGTGTGTCTGTGTTTAAGCAAATGCTACTATCTAAAGGAACCATTTGGAACAATTTAAGTCACCAGGTCTGCTACAAGATCTATGAACTCACAATGTCACACCAGGGCAATTTGTTTCAGTAATCAGAATCTTCAAACAGAACAATACTCTTATGTTGGTGGGTTTTCCTTTAAAATATGTGATCCAGTCTTACCTCTGTGACATCCATAACTTTGATGGCTGCCAGCTGACCCGTTTTAACATGTCGACCCTGGGAAACCAAGAAAAGATTGATCAGCACAGTTTTGCACAGTCATTAAAACAGAATGGTTAAATTTTTCAACAAATCTTCTGTGTTTTGCTTATTAATTAAAAGTAATGAAACAGTCCTATGCTTTCCAATAGTAAAGAGTTTCTAATATAAACAATCACTTTTTAAAAAGACATCAAATAGAACAAACGAATTCTGATAAAAGCATTAATTCCTTCCTTCTTCACTTTCTTTTAAAAAGTGGTGCATCTATATTTAATTTGCATATCACTATACTCAAGCAACTTAAATAACATGCTTCAACACAATAGGTTGACTACTTTTTCCTTTTTAACATTCCACATGGAAAATTAAAAAAATAAATAAATAAAAAAGATCAAAAGCCCAGACACTTGTTTTTATGTCAGAAATAGAGACCTGCCATTTTTTCCTGGTGAACTCCTAATACTTATTTTTTAATATTCATAAGAGTTATACTTAGAGCCAACCAAATACCTGAGCATGAACCTCTTAAAGACTCAACAGAAATGGTTCCACAACAAATGCAAAACAGAAAGAAATCCCAAGAGGCTGTCTCTCTGTGGTCTCAAGATGAAGACAGTAGTGAATTTTTTATTTCAAACCTGAGGAAAATTCTCCATTTATCCTGGAGAACTTATGCAAGAACTCAAGTTAAAATTTGGAAAAAGCAACTACATGAAAATGACATTGTAAGACAACCAGTACTCTCAGTAACTGTGACCTGGCAAGTCCCAGATGGGTGGGCCTTGGGTGCCGATCTAACAGTGGAACAACAGTGTTGGTTGCAGCATAAGGTTGTGGTGTACAATCGAGGTGCAAAGAAAAAGGCATGGCATGTGGTCAGTGGTCAAGCACAACCCAGGAAAAAATGTGGCCAGACACTGATGCCCTCAACCGATCACAATATCACACAGCTCCTATGACTATGGCAACTGAATCATGAAGCCAAATTATGATTTACTTATTTCCAAGAAGAAAGAGCAGAACTTAAGAGGATATCGTACTAAATAATCCTCTGATACCTTCCATGTAAGGGATAAAAAGATCATCTCAATACATCAGCTCTCAAAACCTCAGTGGGTTTATTTCCAAATGACTAAAGCAAACTTCTCACTAACAGAAATCAAGAGCTGGGGGAAAATGTCACATGAGTTGCCCTAGCTTTCCTTCTTTTTTTTCTTTTTTAACATTTATTTTATTTATTTACTTATTTATATGTGGTGCTGAGGATCAAACCCAGGTCCTCACACAGGCTAGGCGAGTGCTCTACCGCTGGGCTACACACAACCCCAGTCCCATTCTTTTTTTCTTTTTTTAAGAGAGAGAGAGAGAGAGAGAGAGAGAGAGAGAGAGAGAGAGAGAGAATATTTTTTTAATATTTATTTTTTAGTTTTCATCGGACACAATATCTTTGTTTTGTATGTGGTGCTGAGGATGGAACCCGGGCCAAAAGCATGCCAGGCAAGCGCGCTACCGCTTGAGCCACATCCCCAGCCCCAGCCCCATTCTTTTTGAGAGGTAGTTACACAACACTGGGAATGTATGTGGGGTTGTTCTGACAAGGTAACGCTTAAGATCCCTACAGTCAAAAAAATCCAAGGGTCTATGAAAATCCTCTCCAGATGTTTGTTTAGTGGTTATCGTTCTTTCTCTCTCTCTTTCTCCAAATAAGTTAGCATAGACATCACGATAAGGAGCAACTAGAAAATCATCTGGGCTTTCCTCTATGCCTGAACTCAAGAAATGCAAGTGTGTACTCTCAAATCTTAGCAGTTTGACAGTGGCATAAAAAGCTCAGATTTGTGAATTCACTCAGCATTTGCTTAATATAGAACATGAATTTTCCTTACTAAGGAATTATAAGTTAGGACCTAGTAATGAATCAATTATTTTGATGACAAAAGTAAGATCATGCAAAGGCATTAATCTTTGTTAATACACACTAGGTCTCCAAATTAGGTCCCACTTTTAAATTTAAATTCACATCAAGAAATCTAATAATCCTGCTCCTTCCTTTCTAAGAAACAATAAAAGTACTAGTGAAAAAAGAATATGGGATTCAGGTGCCTCTCCTTCCTCCTCAAGCCATCACTATATTTCCTTAGGGAAGCTGCTAACTTTCATGAACTTCCTAATACTGCTACAAAACTCAATGTGTTCAGATGCCTGGTGCCCAGGCTATAGATGAAGTAGAGAAGAGTATGGAAAGCCTGGCCATTCTGGCCTAGCACACAGTGAGATCTCAGCTGAGTGTCCTTGTCCCTCTCATAAAAGGCCCATGGCCAATTCTTTCCCAACCCCCCAACCCCCAAGATTCCAACTACCTTGCACCTTGTCAATTTAGGACCATTTGTAATTTTTGGAAGCATGGCCAATAACAGAGGCAGCTATGGTGCACTAACATAGCATGCTATTCTAATTACTAGGGAGAAAAAAGCAAACCTATAAATTTGAAACCACAAGTCATAATTTATCAAAGTGAACTAGACCACCTTTGTATAAAGTAAACAAAATGGCCAGCAAAACAGCCTGACCCCCGCCCAAAATAAAGCTCAGACTAAATTACTAAATATTACTATCATAATTATGAGCCTAGAAGTCTACAACCAAAACATTTTTAAAGGATAAAAATATATCTGTGATTTACTCAACACTACCCAAAAGAGAGTTTACTGACTGCCTCCAACCCAAGGATGAGCTACAAACAAATGTGCCCAATCTGGTTGACCCACCCATTGCGGAAGACTATACCCATGCCTCTCCTGGCATCCCATTATCTATAATGCATGGCCCTCCTCTGTACTGCCTGCCTGAAGAAAAAATAAACATAACAGACTTCAATGTGCTGGCAATTTAAGGATACACTGAAGTTTCAGGCTGTACATATATTATATCACCCCATTTTAACCTCCACAGTATTGCTCTCTACAGGTAAACAATGATCACACTCCATTACCTGACTTGGGATCCAGCACTGTGTCACTGAAACATCTAACTAGCACATGGAGTGACTGATTGTGCACTAAGTAGTAACAGGGTCTTTCTCTCTCTCTTGTACATACACATTCTAAAATACAACAGAAAATGACTTTTTCAGTAGTAAGTATGCATACCTAACACATCCATTATGAACTCAACTTTCTTGTCCTATTATCCAGTAGCAGATGGCCCATCCAGAGTTATAAAATGCCAGACAGCAGGAATTAAAGGTTCTTGGCTTGCTTTATTTAAGTGATACCATGTAAACATTAATGCATTTATGAAACACTTAATGAAAAGTCTCCAAATACGGTTCATATGTACTTTTTCAATGAATTCTGAAAATCTCTAGGAGGGCAACAAAGCAAGTCCTTAACCTAGTCCACAGGTGAGAAACTGTGAACCAATTTTATTATTAAAAAAGTTATATGCCCAGAGGTACAATGGCAGCAATGATTACATGAAAAGCAAGAGATGAACTCCCGCTGTTTTCTACCAACTTGTCAAATTGCTACTATCAACTGTTTTGTTTTTAAAGACACAGCTTAAGTTATTTCCATTCTATGCTTTCAAAGGGAGACATAATAAGATCTAGACTTAAAAGTTTTGACTCCATCAGTACTATTTCGTGAAAGTCTGACAGGCTCACAGTAACCAGATCACCCACCTCATCAAGCAGTCTTCATGGCTTTTGATTCATTTTTAGTTTTTAAATTTTGAGAAAATGAATGTTTCTTTTTTAGGAAGAAAACTTTTTGGCAGAGTTCCAAACTAAAGAAAATGGTATATTTTTCAACTCTTCTTAGTATTTCTAACCAAGTCAAAATTGCCACCTTGCACTTGCAAATACACACGTTCCAGGATAAATAATGCCACGTGGTTTTAACATGCAGGCACTGTGGCAGCTTTTCTGCCTCCACTGAAGTCTGTCCCAGGCCCTCAAAGGAGCCTACAGGCAGAGGGAACAGAATTTAAGAGAAGCTTTTAAATCTCAAGAGAAAAACATAGCAATGTCCCCATCTTCTTAAATCCTCTAATTCACCAAGTATTAGATAACTCCATTAAAATATATATGATGATTAAATATGTCCATCAAGAAGCAAATGCTGGACAATCAACAAATGGGCCAAGGACCTGAACAGACACTTCTCAGAGGAGGACATACAGTCAATCAACAAGTACATGAAAAAATGCTCAACATCTCTAGCAGTCAGAGAAATGCAAATCAAAACCACCCTAAGATACCATCTCACTCCAGTTAGATTGGCAGCCATTAGGAAGTCAAACAACAAGTGCTGGCGAGGATGTGGGGAAAAGGGTACACTTGTACATTGCTGGTGGGACTGCAAATTGGTGCAGCCAATTTGGAAAGCAGTATGGAGATTTCTTGGAAAGCTGGGAATGGAGCCACCATTTGACCCAGCTATTCCCCTTCTCGGTCTATTCCCTAAAGACCTAAAAAGAGCATGCTACAGGGACACTGCTACATCGATGTTCATAGCAGCACAATTCACAATAGCAAGACTGTGGAACCAACCTAGATGCCCTTCAATAGATGAATGGATAAAAAAAATATGGCATTTATACACAATGGAGTATTACTCTGTATTAAAAAATGACAAAATCATAGAATTTACAGGGAAATGGATGGCATTAGAGCAGATTATGCTAAGTGAAGCTAGCCAATCCCTAAAAAACAAATGCCAAATGTCTTCTTTGATATAAGGAGAGTAAGAACAGAGTAGGGACGAAGAGCATGAGAAGAAGATTAACATTAAACAGGGATGAGAGGTGGGAAGGAAAGGGAGAGAGAAGGGAAATTGCATGGAAATGGAAGGAGACCCTCAGAGTTATACAAAAGTACATACAAGAGGAAGTGAGGGGAAAGGGAAAAATAATACAAGGGGGACAAATGAATGTCAGTAGAGGGGGCAGAGAGAGAAGAGGGGAGGGGAGGGGAGGGCAGGGGGGATAGTAGAGGATAGGAAAGGCAGCAGAAC